AAAGTACTGCGAATTGTTCCAACTGACCTGTCCCCAGCTTCCATCTATCGCAACCTCAATGGCCTGCACGGTCTGCCTGGATTCAGATGGCTGTTCATCATCTGTACGACGCCTGCCACACCCTTTCAGCTCTCCGGTGACACTCTCCAGGCGGCCTAATCACGGTTCCCATCGCGTTGTACGGGTTCTTCTTCTTCCCGGACACGCCAGAGACGCTTCTTCTGCGCGGTATCTGACTCCCCAGGTTGGCCAAATCCCGTGGTCTCGGATGATACTCATTCTCTCTGCCAGAACGAGCGCTGGCGGTGTCACGTCTCCCGGCCAAGCCCAAGACGCGGCTGGATTGGTCTCTGATCCGCCGGGTACTGGGCGGTGGAGAATCTATGCGATGTGTCTTATCTGGGTGAGCACTTGTAATGTTATCACTGATGTATTCCGGTCCTAAATCCCTCTCAGATTGTCGGCGGAGAGCTCGAGTCCATCGGGAGCAACTCGCTCATGGCACTCTGGATGTCTGCCAGCGTCCATCCAAAGTACACAATCCCAAATATCAACTACTATCCCGCCGGCGCAACAGCTGTGGCCATTATCGCGCTTCTGGGCACGTACGCACCGCTTTCTGCCCGAGTCAAGGAGAATGTAGATTGACGGCTCGAACAGGCTGTGTGGACTGACTACACGCAGAAGCGATACCAAGTGAATATCCTGATTGCAGTGTGTATGCTGATATCGTCCTCGGTCCTCCTTGCCTACCCCTCCACGGGCAGCATATTCTTCGCCTTCTATCTGGCCGGGTGCGTCACCCGAATTGGCTCGTGAGCCTGGTTTGAGTTTGACGGATGCCCCGCAGTGTTTCATACGCAGGCCAGGCATCCAACTTTGGCTGGTGCAACGACCTTGCGCGCGGCGACGACCAAGAGCGTTCCGTGATTCTGGCCGCGATGAACATGTGGAGCAACGCCTTCAACGCCTGGTGGTCTATCGTCTTCTTCCCGGCCAACGATGCGCCGAGGTGGCGGCGAGGGATGGTCTCCATCATCGTGCTATGCCCCCTCATCGTGCTTCTCACGGCGTACACGAGATGGCGGCAGATTTCGGAGCAGAGACATGAGCAGCGGGAAACCGTGGCAGACACAGAAGAGAAAACATAGAGACCGTGTATTTGCCAATATCAGGTTTCTTCGTTGGCCGCCCAGCACCAGTGGCCGCAGCCAGAAACACAGGGATGCCCGAAGCGCTTTTCGTTCGCGGCTCCTTCGCCAGGGCCATTCAAGGCCTGGTCGCGGGCGCGCCGTCGACCCCGGGTCTCGTCTGTCAGCACCGAGCCTGGCATGGGCACCATCGAGTTCTCCATGTAGTACCGCCGATAGCACGATTGATGGCCACCGTGATGACAGATCGAGCATTGGAAAAGCAAAGTCCGCACAGGCAGCCGGCTGCGCGTCCATCAGCGTCCAGATGCATCGCAACTGACAAAATAACGAGACCGCACCAGATTGCACACGTGACACAGTGTGCTTTGCACGTGGAGCAGAAGGCGTATGCTCCCCGCACGAGCTGTCCCGCTGACGATACGACGATCGCCTTCCTGCATTTCCCGCACAACGTGTGGATCACGGTCTCCACCTGCGCACGTGAGTGATGCGCGCGGGTTTTGCAAGTAAGCGCTCACCAAGGTTCGGTTCCGCACTTCTTCCGTCTGGCAGAATTTCCGGATGTAGGCAGCCGTCGTGTACAATTGCAAGCGGGACAACAGCTCTGAGGTGGATAAGTCTCGGGCAGCACTGCTCAGCGGCCGACACTCACCGATGTATGACTCGAGGTAACGCAGGATCTGCCTCGGCTGCAATCGCAGTTCCTCAGGCGCCACTAGAGCCAGCATAGCACATGTCTGGACATCGCCCTCATCCGCAAACTGGCGCAACGTGTCTCGCAGAATCTCCCATGTGATCTGGTGCAGGTTATACTCGTCCTGCTGGACGAAATCGGCCCTGCGGTCCGATAACTTGTGCAAGTCAGCGCTGTCCTGCTGCTCTTGGTCGGCTTGTTGCATCTCTGCGGATTTCTGCGCCCGAAGGTCTCTGATCGTTTCCTCGGCTTTCAGCCCGTGCGGGTCATGGAACGAGACCTCTCCCGTCGCAGTCACAGTTTGGATGCTGCTGTGCGACGACTCCCGCCTCAACGACGCCAGTGTAGTGGAGCTCCTGCTGCTCGCCTTGAGTCGAGACGCGTAGCTCGTTGATCGGGATTTGGATTTGGGGGACTGATACCGGCTGCCCTCGACGTCAGTGGAATTGGGGGAAACCGACGAATCGTCCCCGGCTGATTCCTGCTCCATTTCCCTCGACAACGGGCTCGGCGCTGGGGGTATGGACAGCGAACGGCTTTTCATGCGGACTGGGGTGACAGCAACCACGGGGCCGCCAGCCTCGTCGTCATCGTCATCGTCGGTCCGCTCGTCGCCCGTGCCTCCGTCCGAAGAGTCGTCCTCGTCCGAGTCGAGTGCACCCTCGCCGACGTGCTTGGCGGAATCAAGCAAGGTCGGAGACAGAAGCGAACTGCTCGTCATGGAGAGCTTTCGCAAGTGCGATGGTCGCCGCCCTCCAGATAGGCTCGAGTCGCCGGACTTGCGCCGACCCATAGGCGGGCGCGAACTCGTCGGCGGCAGTGATCCCACGTGCAGCCGCGGAGACGACGACGCGGAGGAAACGGGCGTGCGCTTCCTGGATGTCGACGTACTGGTGTCTCGTGACGAGGAGACTGGCGGGAAGGCGTAATTGCTTGTGATCGCGGCGGTAGCAGTCGGTGAGACGAGCGGATCTGACACGACATTTTTCAGAGCGGTAGCCATCAGTGACCACACTTGAGCGACCTTAATGTTCCCCACATCGAAAGCGGTCTGTGATGAAATGAGTCCTGCCCAGACGCGTGAAAGATGGTACATGCCTGAGCATTCATCTCGCACAATGCGAGACGGGAAAAACCCTCAATGGTATACGCGCGAGCGAATTTGGTGATTGTCTCAATCCCCGTGAAAGAGTCGAGATCGGAGAAGTTGGCTAACGTTTGATGCTGAGGCTGATACTTGGGATCTCCCAATGCCTTGATTAGAGTATTCTTGCGCTTGTCGCTCATTGCAGCGCGATAGTCAGGACGTCTAGAGATTTCAGTCAACAACAAATCGATACAGCTGAGGGCGGAGAAACAGACAGATCATCGTAAGGAACCTCCCATTGGTCACGGGATCCAACGGCAAACGCCAACGAGCCTGAAGCTTCCCAAGCAACGGCAGAGCGAGGGATCGCGTCAATAGGTCGAATAGACTCGCGAAGATCGAGCTGCGAGAACATTCCAGACGAATGACTAGCCCATAACGCGTGAGAGTCGCGAAATGCAATGTCTAGAAACCTGAGTATAGAGCTTGTTCCATAGGGCATCAAACATACCAGTGACACCACCGTCGATAGCAGACCCGCGGATCGACCATTTGGCAATCCATCCACGCCTGGCATCCCATATCTCAACAGCGTCGCCGATTCCCGCAGTCGACTTGTGCCTGTCAGCGGTTGCAGATGCACGGTTGACTCTCTCGCTCTGAGGGCTGAGAACCGACGCATAAGTTCCTCGGGAATTGGAACCGGCCAGTTCGGAGAAATTGCCGCTGCCAAATTCAGCATTGGAGTTGGAGATCACAGCCACCTCGCAAACATAGCCAGGTCGCCACAACACTCTCCGAACGGGAAACGATGGATGCAGTGTGTATGAAGGTTTCCGCGATCCACGGGCATCACCGCTTGCTGGAGGATCGAGAGCAACTTTGGTCAGATCCCAGATCTATGGGACCGATATCAGCATCGCGCCGAATTCAACGATTGGTCGACACTGACCTTCACGGTTTTATCGAGCCCCGATGTGACCAACCAGCCCAACCCAGAGCTGGTGTCCGCAGCCATCTCCCCGTCGCGCAGACACCAATCCATCGATGTCACACTAGAGGAATGGGCGACAGGTAGGCGGTCTATTGTACCGCGCTGACCCAATCGCAAGTCAAGACTAGGATCCGTCAAGGGCGTGACAAATCGAGGCGCAGATAAATTACCGAAGCAAACTGCCGTTCTCGAAACCAGCGATGACTTGCAGGGCCGAAGACGGATTCGGAGAAAAGGCCATCGCGCGGATTGCACTGGCATTACGAATGCGCATAATGGACCGTTGCATATCCCGGATGTCCTGCAGTCCGTTCAACACCCGAAGATAAGATTCGATGCTGGTTTACCCATGCGCGTAGATCTCCGTCAGCAGAGCCAGTCACACAGTAGTGCTGAGCGAGGGGAGAAACGGCCAACTTGTGTACAGAGCGGACGTGGTCCTTGGCTTTGCGTTCTGATCCGAAATGAACGAGGTAGCCGACCACAGTCTGTTCGTGACCCACCAAACTTGGAGGATCTGGTCAAGTCCCACATTATCAACTCTCCACTCTTAGCGCCGGTCAGTATCTTGTGATTGAACACTTGTTCGGCATGAGAATAGCTTTCAGAGGATGAAGCGGTTGAGAACGCACGCCCATGGCACCAGGCCACATCTGTTATGGTGCTTTCAACCTTGAGACCGCTCCCATCCCACATGTTTCTCGATGCATCCAGACGATACCCGCCAGGTCCCAGACTCCATCTGTGCTCTGAGGAAGGATGCAATTCGTCCGGACTTGTGGCCCGAATAATTCGCAGGTCTACAGGCCATGCGTAAGTTTCGCAGCTATTCCGTGATAGGAACAGACAGACATTCTCTGCCGCCCACTACACAGCGCAATCCATCCTCGCTCTTGCTGATGATGCCGCCGCTTTGCGTGACACGAGGCAAGCGCACGTTGCGGGTCGCAGACGGATCCCCGGGCTGTTGAATGTTGCCCCCCTGCGGAAGATGCGTACGCGAATCGGAGTAGAGACAGGGAAGGTCAGCGTTGGCTCGGATGGTGAGACGCGCCGCCGACATGGTGGAACAAAGTAGGGGTTCGGCCGAAGTCTCCGACGTTCAACGCGGTCACGGGACTTCGCATTGATCTCTCATCACCTTTCCTGTCCCTCACCACGTAGCTGAGCCGTCAGCTCTCAACATGTTTCCCCAGTGCTCGTGAGGGATGAAATTTTGTCCTTCAAACCAAGGCGGCTGGAGGCGATATCCGGTGCCTGGCGAAAAGCAGTCGCAAGTATGTGCTCGTGCTCTAACGTCATCGATGGGGGAGTCGTCACAGCCCGTCACTGGCTCAAGTCTGGACCGAAGATAAGAAAGCACTGATCGAGTCTCCCGCCGGCCAGAACTCTTCCTCTCGCCCTTCAAAAGTGGGCGTTTGTCGATAGCAGGATCCCGTCTTCAGCATGAAATACGTTCGCCTTGGAAACAGCGGCCTGAAGGTCTCTCGTATCATTCTTGGTTGCATGAGCTATGGATCCCCGGAGTGGCAGAAATGGGTGCTTGAAGAAGAAGAGTCTCTCAAGCACATAAAGGTGCGTTATCTTTCCAGGGTATCGTCATCTTGTAAATTTCGCAGACTGCATACGATGCGGGTATCAACACTTTCGACACTGCCAACACTTACAGCAACGGTGCATCCGAGGTGATCTTGGGCAAAGCGATTAAGCAGTTCAATCTCCCGAGAGACGAAATTGTGGTCATGACCAAGGAAAGTGAAATCTTCGCATCACAGGGCGCGTTCATAATTCTACGCCTTGCTCTCCTGCAGGTCTTTTTCCCCTGTGGCCGTAAGCCCAGCGATCTGGCGGCTTATCTCCCGAACTTCGATGAGGGTGGATACGTCAACCAGCACGGTCTCAGTCGCAAGGTCAGCTTGTCGTTTCATCGGGGTATCAAGTCTCACACTACGCGTGCAGCACATCTTCGATTCTGTCAAGCACAGTCTTGAGCGCCTTCAGCTCGATTATATCGACGTTTTGCAATGTGCGACGCAATCACTGCTCAAAGAAGCCGACTCAACTCCGGAATAGGTCATCGTTTCGATAAAGACACCCCGATTGAAGAGACTGTGAGAGCTTTGGAATGCTCGATTCTTGCTCCTAACAAGATACAGATGCAAGCTCTGCACGATGTTGTCAAAGCGGGATACGTGCGGTACATCGGGATGTCCTCTTGCTGGGCTTGGCAATGTAGGTCATTTGAACTGTGAAATCTCGATTCTTGTGCTGACTCATTGCATCACAGTCAGTATCATGCAGAGTGAGTCTCCAGGTGTGGTCTTTCTCTCCGTGGCTCACGCGGTCTGCAGATTATGCGATCCAGAACAATCTCACCCCTTTCATTTCGATGCAAAACCACTACAGCATGGTGTATCGCGAGGAAGAGCGCGAGATGATGCCCACTCTGAAAGTATGTCGCGCGTACACCGTTGATGTTGAATTTCAGCTCATCTGATCAAAAAGCACTTCAAAGTCGGATGTATCCCCTGGTCACCACTTGCACGTGGGCTTCTGACTCGTCCTATCTCTGAGCAGAGCAAGCGAGGATCACTGGACATGTCAGAGAGAATCCCACTTTCAGACGACATCCGATCCTGACGTTTCTGCGTACAGGACAATCAGCAGTTATCACAGCGAACCCACGACTAAAATTGTGAACAGAGTAGAAGAAATCGCAAAGAAGAAAGGTAAATGCGATGGTTGCTCGGTGTCTTCTGCAATGTAACGTCTCACAGGGAAGACGATGGCTCAGATTGCCTTGGCTTGGGTGCTGGCAAAGGATGGTTCGTGATGTTCTCACTCGGCCGAATCAGTGGGCTTACCAAGGTCATAGCTGTCACGGCACCCATCGTCGGTTCGACTTCATTGAACAATCTCGGCGAGCTGTTTGGTGTGTACCGCATCTTCACTTGCCCGATAGTTCATCTCATGCATTACGACGAAAGCTGCCACCGAGATCGAATTGAGCAAGGAAGAAGTCGAGTACCTCGACGAGCCTTACCAGCCAGGAAAAGTAATCGGACACTCATGAGTATTGTTCAAATACGTCTCCGTGTCAGAATGTACAATCTAAATTCGTATATGTACACAATTCATGTGCCAACGTCAAACTGGATATGTCTAAGAATGGTTTCCTCGATTTCGAATAGAGGAAGCTTGCCTCAAGACCACAATTGGAATTGGAACGAACAGCTGTCCCAAAGATACGGGCAGCCGAAATCTTCCCTGCTGGGGGGAGCCCCGCCAGGATTGAAACCGCCCGTGCACGTACAATCATGGCCTGTTTCCGCTAGATCGAAGTCAATGAGACGGACATCGCCTCCGTACACCAAGACGTTTCTCTCCGCAAACTGAACTTGGTTGAGTAATGTCCATTGCATACATGAATAAACAGCTTACGTCGTTATGTAACAGTCCTTTTCGATGAACAGCGCGCAGACACTCCAATATACGGATCCTTGAGAGTCAGATGTGAGAGCAGTTTGTGACCAACAAATAAGAACTCGACTTGAGATCAACATGTAGAGTCCCGAATGTCTGATCTAAACACTCGCCCCAGTACTCTAAAACAAGGCAGGCAACAGGTCGATCCCCATCGGCAAGACCTGTCCACAGACCAAAGGCACGAGGGACCACGCTTCCCTGCAGTGTCTTGGGCCCAATGAGACCACAGAGAATCAAAAATGAGGATCGAGAAGGGGTCACACCTGCAGCAGCCCACCATATAGCTTGTTCTCTTTCTCAAGTGCAGGTATGAGATCCTCTCGCATGGCAAATTTCAAGACGCAAACGGGTGCACTTGCCGCATTGGCGCTCTCCCAGAATCCTCGGAAGATGGGGGTATCGGAGTTGTAGTCAGCATCAGAATTGGAGGGATCGACTCGTATGATGATAGAGTCGCCAGCGGTAGTGGTCGGAGGGCCAGTGGGCGAGAGAGTGAGTTCATTCAGAGTCCAGCCTGGCCATGCAGGGAACTTGATACAAAGAGACGCCATATGAGCGTGTGGAATGAGCAGCTGAATGCGCTCAATCCGGTGGTGCAGAACGAAGATATGATAGGAAGGCCGACTCAATTTCAAGTGGTGGACAGGAAGTCGTGGAAACGGTAAGGCAAGCCTTGCGTCCGGAAGTTGCCGCCATGCATCAAGAGTGACAACTTCGTGCAGATAAGTTAGAATATCAACTGATGATCGTGACATCATCCCATCGCTGGGAGTTGACTACGGCGCTCAAATCTCCGATCCAACATCTTCTAAGCCCAATAACCCGCAGATGATGCCACCGAGACCACTGCAAAGCACCCAATCTGTCGTGCGCGCCCTTTTGGTCCTTCAGCCATGAGTTATAGGAAAGATCGAGGACCTCTAACGATGGACAAATTGCGGGCAGCCTGTGCAGCGGAACGGGGTTTGGAATGTTTATGAGCCCGATATGGGTCAAGGAGAACGGTAGATTTTGCAATATTGACAGAGAAACCGGCGCCGTCAACACAACGAATGTGTGCAGAGGCATCGGATTCGTGGACAAATCCTCGCCATCGTCAGCGTCCCATTCATCGGCGGGCGCATCATCCTGCAAAGCAGGGAGTCCGATAGCTGTCGGATCTGCTCCGGGTCCAACCACGATCAACTCTCCATCCGCAATACAAGGTGGCCCGCACAACACTTTCAATTCCGAGGTCGTGAGGGGCAGATGGACAGCGGTCCAGCGCAGTATTTCGCGACCGAGGTGTGGGGGAATGTGTTGTACGATGAACTCGTCAAGCCCGCCTTTGGACACGAGCAGCTTAATGCACATTGTCGTGAGACTTGGCAACCGCTGACGGCTCGGAGAGATTTCGGGAATGACGACAGAAAGCGCGTCTGCGCGCTGGCCCGGGGTTGCTGAGAAGTCGGGTGGGTCCTCAGTAACCCGTTTGGCGATGAAAAGGGCTTCCCTATGATCCAATGGCTTCTCAGGTTTCGGAGCGTCATCCCATTGCAAGAGATCCGGAGGAAGGGTGCGTGAGCGGTGGTTAGTCGAGCTGTTCTGTGATAGATCGCGAGGCAGTCCCTTCTTGTTTTGAGTGTGTCGATAGTATTCTCCTCTGAGATGCATGCATGAGAGTTGAACTTACAGCATCGAAGCGAAATTACCTGAGAGTATGAATGCGAGACTTGATTTTGGCGGAGCCTGACAAAAGGCTACTACTCATCGTGGTAGACGGACATGCTCGTTGCTGAGTCAGATCGTGCTGGTGATCGCCGAATCTAGGGTGATGTTTAGGTATGCCGCATTAAGAACCAGCACCCCTTAGTAAGCAGCGCGTGACGGTCACGTGACGGTCAAATCCACGGTCCGAAAAATGCGACCCTTCTTTTTTGGTATAACGATGGACTTGTATGCACCAAAAGTGATCCAAAATGGGTGTCCCAAGGATAATTGAGCTTTTGTATGGCTACTATGACTACAGAAGGGGTTCTCGACGCTAGTAGCACTGCCACTTCCCAATTAGGAAGTCACGTGAATGGTCAAATCTTCCGACCCAAAATTAAAAAATGCTCAGTTCAGTGGGAAATCACTTTCTACAATAAAAGGAAACTTTTGATGCAAAATGCTTGAGCCTCATATCATGCTCTCCAGGAGGCATAATGAAAGATTCGGTTCAGATAGCAGGTGCTCTAAAGGCCTCTAGAAACACCTCATGTGAGTGCTTTGGCTATATTCCCTCTGTGGCCGCCGTCATTTTCCGTCGCTGTTTGTCACGGTGTGACGCTTAGTCATGGGTGCTGGTTTCTAATGCGGCATACCTTATCAACGATATGGATGTGACAGAGCAGAGACACGTCCCTCGTGACCCCTTTCCCTTGTTCCTCTGCCTTGGTTCCACCACTTCAATTGACTTCGATGGCTCGCGAAGTCATCGAAATACCCTCCTCACCTGAGGTCTCGCCGGAAGTTCGCGCAAGGAAGCCAGCTCCACCAGGGAGAGCTGTTCGGCGCGTCGACACTATCATCATTATTGATTCAGACGAAGAAGACCGCGCTCAACGCCAGACGCGTGATCGCAATGCTGTCGCTGGGTCTTCAAAGAAGAAAGAGAATCTTGCTCCTTTGACGCGTAGGGCCGGATCTTCCTCCCGGTCTGCCGATAACATACCCGGCAAACGGCGAGGAAAGAACAAGCCGGAGCCTTTGTTTCTTCCAAGCGACGAGGAGAACGAACCGCCGCCACCAACGACCCAAACACAAGCTGACGAGGAGGAGCATGAGGCTGTCGGCGGAACGAGATTTCCGGCGCCGCCCCCTGATCCGGTGCATATTTATGTGGCCCGCGTTCTCGAAATCGTACCGGACGTACTCGAAGAACACGCGTTATGTCTCGTCCGGAAGCATCTCAAGACCGCTGGAAATGGTTTGATAGAAACTGTGATCCATGCACTTTTCGAGAATCCGACTTATCCGCGAGCGGACAGCAAAGGCAAACGTCGTGCACAGCCCAATGAATGTGACACGCAAGGGAAACGGGTGAAACTTGACTACTCTAGCACTGAGAGGGGCTATAAGGGTGGGGTTCACTACGAGCAACTTGCCATGGATCAACTCTCGCTGGATTTCCCGCTCATTCCCAGAATGCATATCCGACTTTCCTTACTTGACCACCGTTCACTTTACGCGCCGACCTATTTATTTCTGGAGAAAGAACAGTCCTCCGAAGCTCTTCCTTATACACAGAAGCGCATCCCGACTAGACCTGCGGCGAAAGGCAAGCGGAGGGCCACTCATGATGAAGAATTCGAGAAGGAGAGAGAGTGGATCTTATCCCGTGGAGGAGCTGCGATGACTCCGGTGCTAACTGAAGCTTCGGGTGAAGCTGAGATTGAATGCGGATGCTGTTTCACCGACTCTCCCTTTGTGAGTATCTCGAACCTTCCAGTTCAACACTTCTTCTGACCAATACTCAGGACAAGATGATCCAATGTCCAGATGCACATCTATTCTGTACGGAATGCATGACTAGCTACGCCGAAAACCTGCTCGGCTCGCATGACCACAAAATCATCTGCATCGATCAATCTGGCTGTAAATTGGCTTTCACGGTCGCGGAACTACGACGCTTCTTGGTCAATCTTTCGATAATAGAGCTAAAATTCTCACTCATGCATTACCCACAGACGCCTCAGCTGTTTTCTCTGTACGAGAGAGTCAAACAAAGCAAGGAAGTTGAGGCGGCAGGACTGGACGGGATCGAAGAGTGTCCATTCTGTGAGTTCAAATGCATCATTGAAAACGAAGAGGCGCGTCCCTTTCACTCTCCGCTTGATCGGGTCTCATTTTCTTCGTTCTCTCCAGGAAAAGCTCTTCACTTGTCGTAACGAGGATTGCGCCGCGGTCAGGTGACCACCTACTTGGCTTTGTCGTTTCTTCTCATGCTGATCTCCATCAAGTTGTAGACAGTGCAAGCAGCTGGTGCGTTCAAATCTCATAACATCTGGATCGTTTACATATCAAAAACCAGGACCACCTTCCCAAGAGCTGTAAAGGTACAAAAGCGCGACGGATCTGGCCATGTTTGCTTATAAGATGACAGAGGTTCAAGACGACAAAAAGTTAGATGCACGTCATGAAATCGAAGAAGCAATGAGTTCGTCGCATGTTCTCTTCTTGAACGTTTACCTATGGGCTTTGCAGCACGCGCGTTGATGCGCAATTGTCCACGGTGCAATAAAGGTGCGCGATCACCCGGGAGCTCAGCTGTACAGAGCCTGATTCGATGCAGCGTTTGTCAAAGACCACGGAGTAAGCATCTTTCTCGCTACTTGCTCAAAAGGCTTGACCTTCTCCAGTGCAACAAAATGACTTGTCCATTTTGTCACACCAAGTCATGTTACCTGTGCCGCAAAGTTATCACCGGCTATGATCATTTCTTGCCACAGGTGCGACGACATCTGTCTCGATCAGTCCATGCAGACTTACGGATTTAGTCTCCGATGCAACCTGGTGGCGTTGGTCCAAGTAGAGTAGGCGGCAAATGTGTTCTTTGGGATCCGGTAGATCAGCGCCACGCTGAAGAGGTCGGTCGTAGCTTTTCCTCCACTGAATGCCTATTCAATTATTCCTTGAAGGTCAAGCAAGCAAGAGATAGAGCTTTGAAAGATTTCCGACGACATAATCCTGACACTGATGACGAACATCTGCAAGTGGATTTGCCCGTCGCTCCGCGGGCAATAGATCCTGTAGCCCATCCAGCCCATCCTGTTGCCCCCGGTTTCGGAGGAGCTCATCGCGGGATGGGTCAACATGGTTTTCCCCATCACATGGTGGCACCACAGCCAATGGTTCACAACAATCAAATGGCCCAAATCCAGGCTCAAATCCATGCGAATATGGCACAGTTGCGCGCTCAAATGTTGGCAATGCAGCCGCCATTGCCACCGGTCCGCAGAGCGCCCAGGAGACGAACTTAAAAGTCTGCGGTTTGCCTGATGCTCATGTCTTTCTCCGTTTTCGGGTGTATTATTACGAGATATATACATGCTACACTCTACTCTTGGGGGATGAATGGACTCCTGCGGTACGCCGGGGATTCAACAATCGTAGGCAGCGTTTTGGCAAGCTTGGCCGTGCCAGCGGGAAACGGCAAGTCGTCGACACCGGTGGGCAAAACCTTCTCGAACAGCCCCTTGGCCTGGTTGTGCGCAGCCGGAGCGAGCATCTTCTTCTTGGCGTCGGACATGAGCACATACGCATCGTCGGCACCGGGGACCGCACCCCGCACAAAGACAAGGTCGAGGCTAGTGTCAATGCGCACGACGGCCAGGTTTTGCGTCGTTATGCGTTTTCCTCCAAGACGTCCCGGCATCTTTTTGCCGGGGAAGACACGGCCTGGGTCCTGTTCGCACAGTCAGTTGGTCAGGCATGCGCGCCTTGCATTGATGGGCTCGCACCTGATGTTGACCGGTCGAACCAGACGAACGATGCGACACGGATACACCATGACTGGCCGCCAGTCCCCCAAAATTCCATCGCTTCATGCCTCCAGCAAAGCCTTTGCCGATCCTGAATTACTGCGTGAGCCTCCATTGGCGAGCATTGTAAGAGATGACCCACCCCTTGGCCACCACGTCCACAAACTGGCCCGGCACAAAATGAATGGCAGAGAGCTTAGTGCCTTGAAACGGTTGTTCAGTGTGCGAAGGATTCCCACAGCGCACCGCAACTTGCCTACTGGAATGTGTGCGTCGGGCGACACAGGGAACTCTCGCACAATCCGCTTGGGCGGCACCTGCGCCTTTCGGAAGTGGCCAATCATTGACTTCGAGAGGGTCTTAGCTGGCCTATCGGTCGCCGCGACTTGTACGGCGTGGTATTCGGTGTGGTCCCTGCGCATGGTTTTTATGTTCGCGGTCACTTGACACTGTTCAAGCTGCCGGACCCTTGTATGAGAACGACCCAGTAGACCTGGCAGCGACTATACTTACCTGCAACACAGTCACAGGTATCCTTGCGCCTTGGTCGGTCCATAGCGAGGTCATGCCGCGTTTTCGTGCGATGACACCCGTCCGCACAGAGTTCGGTGTCCATTTAGGTTTGGACGGAGAGGCTGGCGCAGGCGTCGCAAGTTGCGCGACGCGTGAGGAGTGTAGTCTTCGCACAGAGCCGGCAAGTCGAGGACGCTCAACGAGTGCCCATACGCCGCTGAGCATCGCAGTTGTGCAGAGGACAATTTCGTGACAGATTTGATGGCAACAACCACTTGTGATCGATCCAGACCGAGGAATCTCTCCACCCTTCTCTCCCCCCGAAGTTCAGTTCGTCAGGTCCTGCCGGGCGATTCTGTGGCCACCTACCATAGCACGCCGGGGGCCTTGTGTTTGCTCAGGGCTGGCTCCCATCGCTCTCTAGAGTCGATATTGCTGGGTCTCATCCTGACTCTGACACAAACCGTACTTCATTAGCGAACATGGAATCTGCGGAAAGCAGCATAGAGACGGAATCACTCCCAGCGGTCAAGAACCTTCGCTCCAAGTTCGAGCAACTCTCCAACAGGCCCTCCCCGATTGGACTGGGATTGCCGTCGAATCATGTTCCGCGTCCGCGAGCCACTTCGGGCTCCCATTCTAGTGGCGATCGCCCCCCAAATAGCCCGACTCTCCGCTCCACGAGCTCTTCCTCCGAACTGTTAAGCAGGAAACCTCCCCCACCCCCGCCACCATCGCGGGCGCGGGCGCCTTCCCCCGCAGCATCGCCTTCGCTTCGTCCTGCGTCTGTCGGAATCGATATTCCAGAAGCACCACTCAACTTGCAACCGACTGAACCCATTTCCTCGCCATTTTTGTCTCCGCCTGAGATCCATGTTCCAGACGCCCAGTCCAGTCCCGGAGTGTCAGCGTTACGCAGTCGGTTTGTGTGAATACATGGCGCCGCGCACGCAGAAACAGTATCCTAACGTACTCCCACAGGAACGCACCATCCCCATCACCATCCCCTTCGCCCCTCCGCCCGAGCAACAGTCTTCGTAGACCCCCACCTCCGCGACCGCCCGCACAGCATGCGTTTCTCGGTGAGATGGAGGAGACGTCTTCTCCCCTTCCTCTATCTTCCGAGGACGAATCTGAAATCATCACTTCCCTTGCCAACACCACTGCACCATCACTTCCAGCGCGTCGACCAATTTCCTATCAGCAACCAAGCTCAAGTCAAGAAAGTGACGTCGTGCGCCGGATTCCTCCGCCTCGACCGCCTCGAACTGCCAAGTCCGTAGACTCGACGGTCAAAGGCGCTGAGTTCATTGTCAAAGCACCGCCTCTACCCACTCGGCGTTCACCGGAAGACGCGGTGGGTCCGCCAGTTCCCAATTTGGTCCCTCCTCGGCTCCCCATGCGCCCTGCTTCAGTGATCCCAGCGATTGAACCCGAGGAGCGCAAGACACTTTCTCGGCTGCCGCCGCCTCCAACTCGGACAATCGCATTGGGCGACAAGCTTCCGCCCGTCAAGCGGCCTTCGTCGCCATCGTCCGAGGAGGAATCCGCTGACGAAGGCCCTCCAGATCTGCCTGACAGCAGTCGATCGTCGCGGAAGCCGCCTCATCTTTTGTTTCGCGCGGGACAGAATGATCTCAAGATCACTGTTCCCGCGCATTCGGGTCTGGTCATAGTGTCCGGCACACGCATTGTCACAGCCACGAACCACCATATCAAGATCTACGATGTCGCTCAGTCAGACACACCGGTTATCTCGCTAGAAAAGAGGGAGATCGGTCACAGTCAAGGCCTTAAAGAACTGCGCCCAACAAGCATGGAGTATCGCACATGCGGCCGTCCGGGCGACCGTGGATTTTTGTTGTGGATTGGTACCAAAGATGGCCATCTCGTTGAACTGGATGTGCGCACTGGAGTCGTGACTGCTGCCAAAATTGGTGCACATCTCCACCCGATAGTTAGGATATTCCGCCACGGACGAAGCATGATCACCATGGACGACGCTGGGAAGACCCTGCTGTTTGCTCCGTCCGATGACGGAGAGGATATTCAGTTGGCATTCACCCCACCTCGCGTCACTCGTGTGACGGAGAAACAAGATTTCGCCCAGCTGATCTGCGGAAAGCTCTGGACGGCGTCTAGGGTCGACCTGCACGGCTCACGGTTGCAGACCATCCGGGTATACGATCTGTTTGCTCCAGGTGCTCCGTTTCGGGCGGTGGCGCCAACTGAGGCGATCGGTGCCATTACCGATGCTACGATGCTTCCCTCGACGCCGGGCATTGTCTATGCTGCTCACGAGGCTGGGTCAGTGTCTCTCTGGAAACTCGATCAAGATGGCTGGCCGCAATGCATCGACATCGTCCGGGTCGCCATCTCAGACGTGCTGTGCATTGAGGGAGTCAACAATCGGCTGTGGGCTGGGGCCAGGAACGGCGCCATTTCTGCCTACGATGTATCTGTCAAGCCTTGGGTTATCACCAACTGCTGGATGGCCCACACCAAGCTGCCGGTGAAACAGCTTTCGGTCGATCATTACGGGATCGAGAAGACCGGGAGACTGTGTGTGACTAGTGTTGGCCGTGATGAGCATGTCAAGCTATGGGATGGGCTCCTCGCGTTTGATTGGATCGACATCGAACTGATGAAGCGTGAAGCGTCGTTCAGCACGTTCCGAGACCTCAGTGTCCTCATCATCTCGTGGAACTGCGACTCGGCGAAACCTGAATCGCTCACGGGCGATGCAGCCAACATCAATTTCCTGCATGACGCGCTAACGAGTGTGGGGTGCCCCGACATCATCTGTTTTGGGTTCCAGGAGCTGGTCGATCTCGAGAGCCGGAGACTCGTTGCGAAAAACGTGCTTCTGGGACGGAAAGACAAGCAGGACGTGTCCGTCGCACAGATCACAGGATTGTCTGGACTATCCGACAAAGTGTCGACCTCCTATCGCAAGTGGTATGAACATCTTGTACATGCGGTTCGTCTTGCGATGCCGGCCCAAGTGCCGTACACGGCGATCCACACCGAGAGTCTGGTGGGATTGTTCAGCTGCGTGTTTGTGAAGAATTCGGAGCGGACATCTATCAAGGACAACGTCATCACTTCCATGAAACGAGGAATGGGGGGCAGATATGGTAACAAGGGTGGGATCATCACTCGTTTGGTCATCGAGGACTCGTCAATCTGCTTTATCAACTGCCATCTGGCCGCTGGACAGCATGCTACCAGAGCCAGAAACGCGGATATCGGGGCAATGCTCGAGGAGCGCTCGCTTCTTCCTGAGAGTGAGCACGAGCCCTTGGCCTATGTCGGCGGCGGGGACGGGCAAATGGCTTTGGACCACGAGATCGTCTTTGTGAGTTCGAGCTTTCTGTTGGTCTTCTCGCGTCTGACTCTCCAGATCAACGGGGACATGAACTACCGTATCGATCTTCGCAGAGACAACATCATTACGGCCGTCCGTGCCAACGATCTGGACAGCATCCTACCCCACGACCAACTTCTGAAAGAGATCAAGTACAATCGTGGCTGCCGTTTGCGCGGATTTGCCGAGGGCCCACTCACCTTTGCGCCAACCTACAAATATGACCGACACACAGACGTTTATGATACATCTGAAAAGGCGCGTGCACCCGCGTGGTGTGATCGAGTTCTCTGGCGGACGCGATCGCCGAACCGTGTCAAGCAACTGCACTACCAGCGATACGAGGCGAGCGTTTCCGACCATCGCCCAATCTCCGCTGCATTCAAAGTCACTGTCAAAACCATCCACCAAGATGTCCGACAGAAGGCCAAGGCCGAAACCGAGTTGCAATGGGCAGTGGAGCAGGAGCGCCTCCTCTCTGTCTCACGTGACTTCTACGTAGATCTCTCCCTCATTTGAGAGACCCTAAGTTATCCGACGGACACCCCCCACGGACCTATTCTATTAATTGTCTGTATGTAGCATACCATCATGTAGCTAGCCACCCAAACGACGTCACTGTGGAAGAACACCCTGTCATCACATATGAGTCCGCGTCTTGTGATTCCGATCCAGTTCTGCACTTGCGTTCAGCATCAGCCTGCATAACATCGCCGAAAAACCGAGCACGACGCGATCGCCGAAACCGAGCTGGTGGTTTTGGTTCCCAGGTCACCGGGCCTTCTGCAACTCCACATCGGCTTCTTGACCTCCTCCGCGCACCAGACCCAATACGCACTGGCCACTACGAAACGAAGATAACTTGGAAGGGCCATTCTGAGCGCGTCCGTCACTTGCATGGATGTAACAAGGTGCACTTTGGGTGGGAATTCGGGCGGAATATCGAAGCCGACGCGGTTTTTAGGCCCAACGACCCTTCCGCGATTTTCCATGATGCCTTGCGAAGTACGTGCTTGCTCTGCAGTGGACGGGACAAGACTATTGACACGAAATACACCCTAGACAATAAGGCCGTCGGTGCGTCGCGCGTTGGCTGGTGTCGTCGTGCGTCTCATCTCTCAAAACCATGTTTTTGCTGCCAGTGTGCGCCTTGTCGGCATCGTACATATCGACTTTCGCGGGCTACCCCCTCGACTCTCTGAAATCAAGACTGCAGACGCAGCGTGTGCCAATTAGTGTCCCGAAGCTGGCTGCGCTCGTGTACCGAGAGGAAGGCGTGAGTCGTGCGCAGCTACTAGGGGAAACACCAAAGAGAGTTTGATATGGAACTAGATTACGGGATTCTATCGCGGTCTGTGGATCCCTTTGTTGACGATATCGTTCGTCCGTGCGTACTGCTCCGTCGCCATTCGCGGTCTGCCCCATACTGACCTTAAGGTCGTAGGCGCCGCGAGTTTCACGATCTACACGGAGACGAAAGAGTACTTTCGCGTCAATCACTATCTCGACCGTGACCGGATTCTGGATGCGGCGTTGGCGGGTGGTATCGGCGGGGCGATGTCAGGGTCCTTGATTTCGTTCGGCAGTGCCCGTGTGTGGCTTGTTTCGAGTGTTCGTTCTCGCTGCTAACGTACTCGGCTTAGCGTTTGAGCTGGTCAAGGTCGGTCGCTGGGCTTTGGTTGTTGTGAAACAAGTTACGAATTCAAAGATATCAGGTCCGACGACAGCTCGAGTACGCCATTGCTGCCAGCAAGGGGCAACATCTTGTTAAAGTGAGTAGCGACACTCATGCGCGAACTGAAAGACTGAAGCTTTCTCAGCCGCCGGGAACCGCAGCAGCAGTGCGGTTAGTCATTCTGCTGTATCTCTTGACCATCCCCGGTGACGCCTTCCCTAGAGAGATCTTCAAAGCCAACGGTGTGCGGGGCTTGTACACTGGGTTCCGACTGCATTTCTGTGAGCACTGATTGTTGGCATCTTTGTTTGCGCTGATTCCCATGTCAGTGCGGGACACCCTCGGGACTGGCCTCTATTTTTTCGAGGTAAGCCGGGCAGGGCTGTTGATCGCATGGCTCACTAGGCGATAGTATGACGGCATGCGACACCTGCTAGGTCGACATCGGTGAGTGCCCGGGTGGAGAGGCTGTCGCCCACTTGAATTTGACTTGTCTCTTTCAAGAAATGGCGAGCAGGGCTCCACTCCATCATGGCTGCCTGTGCATGCTTCCCTGGTTCCATTTGTCTGCGGCTCGGTTTCTGGCGTGAGATTTCACCTTGCTTCCCTTAGCGTGCACTGATCGTATCAGGTGACTTCATGGGCTCTGATCTATCCGCTCGACGTGTGAGTATGACCGAGCACATGCGGTGCGTAAACTCACCAGCTTTGTAGCGTGAAGACAAAGATGCAGCAACGTGCTCTTGCCGGAGAGCGCTACCGCAGTGTCGGGGAAACATTCTTCCGACTCATCCGAGGTGCGATAGACTTCTTTTCCCAAGTCTCTCCCGACTCAAAAGAGACAGGCCCTGATCCGTCTGCTCCCAAATCTTTCCTCGAAGGATGCGCTCGCATATATCGAGGGCTCGGGGTCAGTGCAGTAAGGAGCATTACAACTCACGGCCTGCTTTGGACATTCTACGACTTGGTTGCTAATTATATCGACCGGCTACCCGAAAGATAACTTGTCACGTATCTATTTGCTCTGGCCTAACTAGTACTACGTGTCTCCCACGACCAAATTACTTGAACTACATAGTTCGAAACGTTGTCGCTGCTGCTCACTCCAAAAATAGAAACATGTCCGCGGGTAAGGTCCGTTCTTGCCTGGCTGAGTTCGATTCACGCTTTCCGAGCACACTGTCCGCCGAGACTTATCAACTTGATCTAGCAAGTTTCGACATGGTCTTTGCTCCTTTTGGATTTAGACTGATGGCAAGTCACGCCGGCAATGATCTGCGATCGTGGTCCTCTCGCTTGAGCCTTGAACACAGGTCGCACGAGTCACTTCCTGACCGACTGCTGTGGTGCGCTCGCAGCGGTCTCCGAGGAATATGTCGTTCTCGGAACTCCTGGGATATACCAGCATCGCATGCTGGTTGGGTGCCCAGTTTCCTCAGCTTCTCGAGAACATACGGCTGCAGTCTTGTGAGGGCCTCGCGCTGCCCTTCCTTGCTAATTGGTTGCTCGGTGTGTCTCTCGGGTATATCCTTCGATTCGAACTCATCATTCCAGGCGATATCGCCAACCTCACTGGATGCTTACTAACGGAACAGCTGCCCTTCCAGGTATCTAGAGATGCTGCGATACACGCGGAAATGCTCACGAATTCTACTTAGACGTATCTCGCGACCTATTTTGTCTTCGTCGACATGATACTGTTCTCGCAGTATTTCTACTACGGCGGAGGGAAGACAGTCTCGACGTTCGGACGCGGAAGACGGACATCCGCTGCAGCAGATCGGCACTATCGCACGCTTTCGGTCGTGGCAGCTAATATGTCCACTGCCGCCGCATTGGCAGCGCAGGCACACGAGAACACCCGGCGCAGCATCGACCGCATGTCGGCCAGTATGCTGTCGGACGACGTCCCGGAGGGCGCGATGTTGGGCATGGCGGATAGCTTCCACTCGGAACGGGCGGCATCGAAGAAGCGGGTGTCATGGAGCACTGAGAGGCACGGGCGCGGGGGAAGCGTCGGGCGCACACCCATGCCGCGCGGTGTGTTTACGCCGAGGACCGGAACTGAGGAAGAGGGAACCTTCCGGGGAAGGTCGCTGCAGAGGGATCTACAGGCTTCCGAAAGGGACGACGTTGTTCCCTCATCAGTCGACTCCCAGCGAAAGAGCTCTCGGGCGAGCAAACGAGGTGCCAATCTTGTGTTTCTCAGCGTGATGGCTATGTTTGGAATGCGTGCCTGGAGCGGGAACCTGGCTCCCGGAGGCATCATGCTGCGAAAGGATCTGGCGGATAGCGGCCATGTCCTTGCCGATGTCCCTGCTATCATTCAGGATCTGAGCTCCTCTGAAGCTGTCCACGTGTACTTTCCTGTCGCAGACGATCCGACCCATCACGAACCGGAACCTACAAATCCTTCCAACGAACGCCTAATCGGTCGCGTCTCCGCCTGGCTCTGCACCACTCTTTATCTTACATCTAGATTGCCGCAGATATGGAAAAACGTACGTCGGTGCCGGTGCCTCTCTGTGAACGACCGCTGAACAGCTCTTCAGTATGTCAGGAAATCCGTCGAAGTAAGGAACTTCCGTTCACACGTTCTGCGTCACTCATTTCAGCTTCAAGGGCTTGGCCATCTCTCTCTTTGTTTGCGCATTTTTGGGCAACAGCTTCTACGTCGCCTCTATTCTGACCTCCGACCAAGTTTTTCTGCCTGCTCCCCAGTCGACGGACTTTCTCCTAGAAAGCTTACCATATCTGCTCGGAAGCGGCGGGACGCTGACGTTTGACATCATCATCGTTAGTCAATCTTTCATCTACCGAAGACCCAGACGACACGTCCGAGGGCGCACGGAAGAGGAGAGCGGGCTCATGGCCGGCGACTCCTTGGGGCAATCATCAGAAACAGCCTGATGTATGCTATCAGTGGCTGTGTAGATCAATCATCACGACAGTGCTTGCTGTTGCTTGACAATGGCGCTACTCTTCCTGTAATCTGTGTATTCTACATCCCAGCGCAAGACAAAGCCCTAATTTGTTTTGAACTGGCCTACATGTACGGCATGTGCGTGGTTGGATCGACCAGTTCTCAGTCGTCGTCCATTGCAAGGTGAGATCACGTGAGCTTCTCAAATCAACGGCGCTTGCAAGACCGATTCTGAGTTCCACCTGTGCGATGTGGAGACACGCTCGCATAGAGAAGGATTAAGATCTTCTTTCTGACCACTGTTCATTCTCCTTACTGAAGCCGTGGCACGTTGTGTAGTTGTATCATGTGATCGCCACTTTTCTTTTGTCTCACTGTCCAAATGGGGATGCGATCAACATCCTATTGTGTTGTCTGAGACCGACTGTCTTATTGTGCTAGGACCAATGGCGGACAACGACTACCCGTGCATCCTTGCTGGAGGACCATTATCCCCCATTTCTTTTCTCCGCCATGTCCCGTCCCTCCTCCCGCCGCGACGCTCCCAATTCACCGCGATCTTCGATTTCCAGCAACGACAAACGCTCTCAACACACCACTGAGCTCCCAGAGCTCCCTTCAGCGCAACCCGCTTCAGCACCTCATGTCACCAAACCCTCTCTACGACTTCTCTTTTCCCTCATCCCCCCTCGACAACGCGCCCTCCTCCTCATTCCTGCCATCGTGTCATCCCTCGTCGCCGGCGCAATAGCACCCTTCATGACCCTGGTCGTCGGCCAGGCGTTCAACGCATTCGCCCGCTTCGATCAATCCCTACCGGCGAACCAGGCGTCCAAAGATCGGCTCATGCATTCTATGACTGTATCGGCTCTCGAGCTCGTTGGGCTCGCGGTTGGATCAGTTCTGTTGAGCAGCCTGATGAGCAGCCTTTGGATATGGACTGGCGAGCAGAATGTTCGCGCCGTCCGGAGACGCATATATTCTGCTGTCACACAGAAGGATATGGTCTGGTTCGATGCCAAGATGGGCACTGAGGGAACGCAGGGGGAGGACGAGGGCCCCATAGGTGCTGGTGGCATGATGGCCAAGTTTGCGAGGTGCGCTACACGAATGGTACAGCCTCACATTGTTCTTACCTTGGACTTTTCGCAGAGAGACAGACGAAGTTCGCGAAGCTTCCTCTCTCGCAGCAGGGCGTCTCATCCAATACCTGACCACTTGCATCGCTTGCCTTGCCTTAGGGTTCATGCGATCGTGGTCATTGACTCTAGTCATCCTCACCGCTGTGCCGGTCCTCGTCTGTATCCAAATAGCTTCCCAGCTTTTGGCTGGGCCACTCCTCAATGTCGAGCGCTCGACTACAGCTGTCGCTGCGACCCACGTCGACCGTGCCTTTTCTGCTATCAGCACGGTCAAAGCATTCAACGCCTCTGGCTACGAGCAGCATAAACTCGATGGAGCGTTGGACAAGATGTCCACTGCAACCAGGAAGCTGGTGGCAGTCTGGGGCGTCACGTCTGGCTGTGCACAATTCGTTATGATGGGCATGTTTGTGCAGGGTGCGTTTTTCCCCCAGTCCACCGTCCGTCTGTTCAACGGTCCATAGCTTTCTGGTTCGGTAGCAAACTCGTCAAGGAAGGCAAAATTGGTCCTGGCGATGTGATGGCCGTCTTCTGGGCCTGCTTGATTGCCACCAGCAATCTGCAAATGTCCATTCCCCAGTTCATCGTCCTCACCCGAGGCAAATTCGCTATTGTGTCCTTGCTCGCCGTCGTGGACGATGACGGTGACGACGGTTTCGGTGACGTACCCTTGTCGCCGACCACTGCGATTCCGGCTGCTCGTCCGGTCCAGAGACGAACGAACCAACATCTGCGCAAAATTCAACCCAAACGATGCACGGGCGAATTCGCGCTGCACAATATCTCGTTCGCCTATCCATCGCGTCCGCACGTGACCGTTCTTGAAGACATCAATCTCTTCCTTCCTGCGTTTGAGACAACTTTCATCGTCGGGTCCTCCGGCTCCGGCAAGTCTACGATCGCGCATCTACTCCTTGGCCTGTACACTCCTCAAGCAGGCTTGATCGAGTTGGACGACCAGGATATCAAGTTCATCGATGAGCGGTGGCGACGGAGACACGTTGCTAGTGTCGAGCAGGGATGCATTCTCTTCGATATGAGTGTGTTCGACAACGTTGCGCTCGGTGCTGGTGGTCGTGATGTCACACGAGACGAAGTGCAGCAGGCTTGCGTTACTGCGCTTATGCATGAGTTTGTTCGCGACCTCCCTGATGGCTACGACACGATGCTTGGGACCAGCGGTGCCAGCCTCAGCGGTGGACAGAAGCAGAGGCTGGCGATCGCGCGAGCTCGCTTGCGGGATCCGACTGTTCTCATTCTCGGTGAGTATCTACATCTTTGCTTTTCGATTTGCGACCTGAATATTCCCGACAGACGAAGCCACATCGGCGTTGGATCCCACGTCCCGAATCCTGGTCTTCGAAGCTATCAAGCGCTGGCGCAAGAACAAGACCACGATTGTCATCACTCACGACCTCTCACAAATCACATCCAGCGACTTTGTCTATGTCCTCAAGGACGGGCATGTCGCCGAGCAGGGTTTCCGCTACGATCTCGAGGTCTCTGGAGGGGAATTTAGCGAGATGATGATTTCCCAGGGTGCCACAGGAGGATATCTGCCTGAAAAGCAGGTGGACTCGGCCATGCGCACCTACACTCCCACCTCCGAAGACGAGGACAAGACTGAGTTGACACATCCAAGTGTGGGTGTGACAACTACGTTTGGGTGGATGTTCGACGTCGTGACTGACCTCACCACGGTTCCGCTGGCTTTCCCGACTGCCGCAGAGACATTCGAGGACGATGAACCCTCTGTCAGCGAGAAGGTCGCTGTCACGCGATCCCGACGCCCTTCCAGTGTCTACGAACACCCCGTGTCCCCGCTTCCGCTCATGACACGCGACTCTCGCCGATTCAGCCTGCAATTCTCGCCTACTTCGACGACGTTCAACTTCCCGACTGCCGATGAGCCGGAGAAGTGGATCGAATTTGACGAGAAGGAACTAGAAAGCCGTGGCGAGCGTGCTTCCCGCAGACGGCGTGCATCGCAGCCCCGAAAAGCGCGAACGAGATGGGAAGACAGCAAGGCTCTTGACGTCCAGGTTGAGAAGCCTTCCGAGGACGTCTCTGCCCAGCCAGAGATCTCTGTATGGCGGCTAGTCAAGGACATCTATCCCACCGTGCCGTATAAACCCCTGCTCGTTTTCGGGCTCGTCGTCTGTCTCATCAGCGGGGCCATCACGCCCTTGTTTTCGTTCCTCTTGTCACAGCTCTTCTACGAAGTCGCCAACGGGGCGAAAGACACTGCCATGATCAACAAGTACGGTGCGATCGTTCTGTGCACTGCTGCGCTGGACGGCATCTTCATCGGCCTCAAGTACTTTATCATGGAGTCGACGTCTATGCTCTGGATCACCCACCTCCGCAAGGTGTGTTTCAAACTTGTCCTGGCCCAGGACAAGAAGTGGTTCGACAAGTCCGACAATTCACCTGTCCGCCTGGTGCAAGTCCTCATCAAAGACGGCGACGATGCGCGCAACCTGATCGCTGTCGTTCTTGGACAGCTGGCCGTCGTCACGAGCATGCTCGGGGTCGGCCTTGTCTGGGCGCTCGTCAAGGGCTGGCAGCTGACTCTCGTTGGCTTCGCGATTGCTCCGGTCTTTGCTGTTGCGATGGCTGTGCAGACTGGGCTGGTGGCGAAATGCGAGGCGAGGAACAAGCATGCGAGAGAGCAGGTTGCCAAGGGCTACTACGAGGTTAGTGTTGTTATTTAATTCGCTTTATCCATCGAACTGACTGTTTTTACCAGTCCATCCTCAACGTGAGGGCCATTCGTTCGATGGGCTTCGAGGCCATATTCCAGAAGCAGTTCGAAGCTTCTACGGACACTGCTCTGCGTGCTGGAGTTCGGGGTGCTTTCGTTGAAGGGTGCACCTATGGCGTGGCCAGTGGCCTGATCTATCTCGCCGAGGCTCTCCTTTTCTATGTCGGAGCAGTCCTCATCGCGCATGGGACCTACTCCTACCTGCAGATGGTCCAGGTCTTGAATCTGGTCGTCTTTACTGTCACGTTGGGCTCTCAGGTGATGGCCTTCAGTACGTCTGCTGCCTCTATCTATGTCTCTTTTCTCTAACCTGTTCTACAGCGCAGAAGATCGCGCAATCAGTGCAGGCCACTCGCGGCTTCAACGAGATGCTCCACCTTCCCACCCAGACCGATGAGTCGGCTGGAATCATTTGCCCGCCTCTGGACGGCCCCATAACGCTGCAGAATGTCGATTTCTCGTACCCCGGGCGGCCCGATGTGCCGGTTCTCCGGGAGACCAACCTGCAGATCGACCCCGGCGAGTGCGTGGCTGTTGTCGGTGCTTCTGGCTCCGGCAAATCCACGATCGCGGCACTGCTTCAGCGCTTGTACGAGCCGCAGAACGGCCGGATCTTCGTTGGACTCGACGAGCTCAAGACGATGAACGTCGTCCACCTGAGGCACCACATTTCCGTCGTCAGCCAGAACCCGAATCTGTTCGATGCGACCGTTGCGGAGAACATTGCCTACGGAAATGCGGATCTCCCGTTTGCCGATATTCGCCGTGCTGCTCAGGCTGCGAATGTGCACGACTTCATCATGTCGCTCCCGCAGGGATATGATACCATGGTCGGCGAGAACGCGTCGTTGATCTCTGGTGGACAGGCGCAGAGACTGTCGATTGCACGTGCGCTGGCTCGCCCGTCCAAAATCCTGATCCTCGACGAGTGCACATCGGCGCTGGACCCGGCCAACCAAGCTGTCGTGCTGGACACCGTCCGCCGCGCCAAAGTCGGGCGGACGACGGTGATGGTCACACACAAGCTGCCTGTGATGCAGATGTGTGACCGGATTCTCGTTGTGCACGACGGACGCATCGCTGAGCAGGGCACGTACGACCAGCTGATCCAGCGCAAAGGCATCTTCGCGCAGCTGGCCAGCGGTGGCGAATGGGAGTGAGCCATGCCCTTTTTTATTACCTAATGAATGCCGTTACTATATCCTTTCCCTATTTTTCCATTCCATCTTGCATTTGTAGTCGTTACACAGCACACAACATGATCTGTAGTAGTAAACGCTTTCGGATAGAAACAAGCAGCGCATCCTTGTACACATTCTGATTCCGAAAGTGGTCACAACATGACCACTCCGACACCCTTTCCGGGTTTGGTATCTCCCTCGGCGGTCATGCCGGCCAGCTTCGCAGTCCGCCAGTTGTACAAATAAAAGTTGAGGTATCCGTCGCCAGGCCCAAACTGCGGTCCAGCGAGTGAGTCTAGGAACACATCCCGCGGCTGTGACTCACCTTCAGCTCACGCAGGATCGACACATTGTCCATCAGGGTCAGAGCGTTGAACACATCCATCTTGGCCTGGTTCGCGATCACAAGCGCATCGCCGATGAGGATCCGGAGACGCTCCTTCAGCCGCCCGTCTTCCTCGCTCCCCTCCTCGAACGCTACCTCAGTCGCGTAGTAGTACAGGTAGGCCGCGTTCAGCACGGGATGTTTCGCGTTGTTGATGATGGTCGAGGGGAGGAAGTAGAACGAGAAAAAGTCCGTGATGCGTTGTGTTGCGGGGTCCTGCGGTGCCAGCGCGCTCCGTCACCGTGTCGCAGCGAAGATGAACGGTGCTCACCTCGACGACATACGTCCACACGACCTGGGCTTCTCTCCGTCCATCCTTGACCGGCCCAGTCCCCTGACCACTCAAGAACTGGTGCCTGACCTCATCCAGGTTCAAGACTGGGAACATATCGAACCTGGCCATGTATTTCGTGTACAGTTCAGCGACACCGACGACATCCTTCTCCTGCATGGGCCTGATGTTCAGTATGGGACTGTCGGGCACTCGATTGTCGCGAATCATGCGTGCGATCGTCATGTTCCGTGGCACGAAGGTAAACCCGACGTCAACCAGCTTAGAAATATTGAGCGACCGGTGATTGTATCGGCAGACAGCGATGGGTGTGGGAATGACGACTCCAGCGGTATAGATCGCCTGGAAGATTCCTTTGAGGTGAACTTGGCGCGTCACCTCCTTGATCAGTACAGGCGCCAGTCGCTTCGACCGCAGTTTTTTGTGCACACAGAGATAGTTGATTTCGCTGGCCGTGAAGGTCCTGCGCACACGCTCTCGTATCATGGCAGCATTGCTTAAACGATGGATCACTCACTTGCCCCGTACTCGCAACGTCATCGGAACTCCTGAGATGAAAGCCACTAGCTTTTTGTTTGAGGAAACGCGCACGCCCACATGCCATTCCTTGAAATAGCCGGGAGGTTTGAGTGCCCTAGATTCCATGAGTCCAAACGAGTAGATCGCCCATTCTATAGCAAACCTACCACTGGAAGAATTCTGCGGTATATTGGAAACGGAACGAGGCATCGTCGTCCTCCACGTAGTGCAAGGAGAGCAGATCGTACACTTCTTGATTCTAGTCAAATATCAGTATGGGATCGAATACTGAGAATGTAGCGATCCTACGGACCTGCTTGGGGTCATCTATGTCGACGATCGACCACTCGAAGTCCTTGGGTATTGGGTACGGCTCTTGTCGAACCTGGTCTGGTGACACAGAGGCCTCGATATATCCGTCATCTAGTGGCGGACCCTCCCCTAGCAAGAGTCTCAGCAGTTGACTCAAAATTAATCCAGGTAGCGAGCACCTGGCTGAGGGACAGGTTGTGTGGCCCAGAACTACGCCAGTCGTGAATCCCCAGTCCGTCTCAAGAAGAACATGCGCACCTTATGTGCCCCCATGTCCTTCTTGTTGTGTCCCCCGGGGCCCGCCTTGCCTTGCACGACGTCCATGATCCTCATCTGCTCCAACGCTAACCGAACAGTGGCCTCATCAGCCTGCTCGCTTCCCGGCGCGCCCTCGGCCTTCACGCGATCGAGAACCTGATCCACGATAGCCTGGGGTACCTCAGGCTTGCCCCGCAGCGCAGCCAAAGCCCTGGCTGCTTTAGATTTCTTCTTCTTCTTCTTCTTGTTCTGCGACTCTGAGGGAAGAGCCACGGCAGATTCGTCTTCGTTTTCCTCCCCTGCATCCGACTCCGACTCCGACAGATGGTCCTCGGTGGTGTCTATGATCTCCTCGATTTTGGCCGATTGGGACATGGAGATGTGCTGGATCGCGTGGGTGCGCGCGTCACGATCACGTCTCGAGTGGTGTGGCACGTCAGTGGCGGAGACGCCCGAAGACGCATCAAACGGATCGGTATTCAAGTGCAAATAGTGTCACGGTCCCTTCATGGCTCCCATTCTCTTGTCGCGGTGCGTCGCGCGTAGCTTCTTCACCATTACTCAGTCATGAACCTGCGTCTCTGACAGGTCTCTCGATTTTGGTCTGGGGATCCTGTAAGACACATCTTGTACTTCTCTGCCGGCTGATGGTGCTATCCCGACGCAGAACAGGCGTAGGAGCGTATTTCCTGCACGAAAACCACCCACGCTCCAATATCCCTCGCGAAGATCGTCTATTTGAACTGCTGAAGTGGAAATGGGAGCAACATGCTAAGCTGCAGCAATCCGAGACGAATTCGTGACCAAGTCTGTCGTTACACGTATCGTAGAGTCCGACCCTGACCAGCGGCAATACAAAAACGCGGCCAGGATATATACGCTCTCAATCCCTATCCTCGCCCGCCCCCATATACATCCACTCCTTGAACAGAACACGAAGACGTTCACTCTTCCCTTCGCCCAATTTCCTTGCCAGACCAATCCAAGCACCCACTGTCAAATCACTCATTCCGTACGCTGTATGACGTTTCTTGAGCTCCTTCGGCAAATTCTTGAGAGGCACGGGGCACGAATCGTTGGACGCCATCATCGTGGACTTGTATGTCAGATATTCCAATTTGAACTTGGGAGCGTGCGTCTTGTTTGCTTCTTCCAGATGCGGAATGTAGTACTGGAAACCTGGCCTTGGTCCCTGCTCAATTCAAACAGAACTAGACGCACCTGAGCATAGCCAAGCGGCGTCCACAATTGGTTTCGCCGGGAAGGAGAATCTGGATCTGAATGCCAGGGCTCGTTCAGATGGCATTTCCAGGTGTCACGATATTGATCCATTTTGCAAAGCTCGGTCTTGTTGCCGTCTCCCCGAGGATGCCTGGACTTTTCTTTTTTCTTCTTCTTCAAGATTTCGTTAAGATCTTGGACTGGTCCCGTCGTATTGTATGAAAATATGCGGAAACTGGGAAGATAGGGGTTGGGTACGACTGCGGGAGACACGTTGATGACCGCATAATCGTCGAGATTCATCTTCTTTGCTTTTGGCATACTGGCAAAGTCGGCGACTAAGCTGTCGAAGAGATCCACTGATAGTTGGGATTCAGCTGGTTTGATGATGGACAAGTCGCTCGCTTCCAAAAAGAAGAACTGGGCCACGAATGAGGCCAGGTTCTGCAGGGACCAGACAAAATGACTTACATGGTCTGCATTCATGTGCTGCGTGCAAGTGATTAGCGTCCGTCTCGATCGGTTCGGGGCGAACGTACCCCGTACAGATGCCCGAGAATCGTATCTTGAAATCTGAGGGCCAGCTCTGTGTATCGCACGTACTGCAGAAAGATCAGACATGGAAGACGCGAGCAGGGAACGAGCACATACACATTCAGGGTGGTAGTTGTCTATCGAAGGAGGGACGTGTCCTAAGGAGCATAGGGTAAGGAAAGGAATCGGGATGTGCTGCAGTACACGAACCTGTCAGCCAGACCTGTAGCAGCTTCAGAAGATGCGAATGACAATAGGAATCTCCATTGACTCACCTGCATGCCTCGAGTCCTGAATCCTTTCAATTGAACCTCCAACCAGTCGAATTCAAGGTTGCCGGCGTCGTCTCGCTCCTTGAAACTGCAACCACTCACGGCTGTGCTCGGTAAGGACACCGATTACACTCCAGCCAAATGGCGAACCTTTGTTGGAGTGATAGAAATACATGGTATTCAGGCTGACGACTGCCAAAGAGTCTGGGACGACTTCTACGGCATAGTATGCCCCACGCTGGAATATTTGCAGATACTGGAAGGGAATAAAGTTCTTCCAGATGCTACAGATCTTGAGGATAAGGGCTTCGGCCAAGAACGAATAGAACTTACGAAGCAAATTCGTTTGTAGTGCTACTGGGACCAGGAAGCATGATGTTCTTGAAATCAATCAGACGTTGCCCAGCTTCATTGTCGATTATTCTCACATGTGCTATGGAATGTTCAGTAACAGTCGACTGGAGACGGACAAAAACCTACGCCAGACATCATTATTTCCAATGCTCGGTATGACTGGAATCCCCCTCGAAGTGAAGATTGACGTCATCTTGCTCGCCACACCCCGATTAAGATCATAAATTTCTTTGGGCGTGCGGGGCAATTTGCGGTCATTGTCGTGTCTAAGGGGGCGCTGAGTGTGCGCTTCGAGATGCAATCGACCGACTGTCTCGAACCTTGCATTATCTCCTGTCCCTGGGTAGCAGTGAGCAGGGCAAGATATGACGGCAGAGAACTCAGCGCACAAACTACGAAGTCGATCTCAGAAGCCCACTGATCGGATTGAGCATAATCAGTTTGGAATGTGGTCTATATCACACCTTCTTTTCAATGAAATCAAGGGTGTGGTTGATCAAGGAAAACGGAGAGTCGCATTCGCTCGATAGAGTTCAGTCAAGCCGTACTTTGAACGAAGTTCAGACGCACGAATAAGGGACCCCATACAACCCAGAAACATTCTTCTTTTTCTTGCCCTTCTTTCTGTGACAACTAGTAGCCTCCGACGTCTTCGGGCGGTATGCGGGGTCGGGATGAATGTCGGTGATCTACTAGCGTGATTGATGGATTTTCTAGCGTCCTAGGGAATGCATACGTGCAGGAAGTTGCCGCGTAACTTTCGTGGCTCTCAAATCGATGTTAGGCTTCGCACGGGTCTGCACTGGAAGCGGGGCGCGCACTGGCAACATTTGGGACTTGGAAGGGTTCTTGTGTTGGAGCTCCACGTGCCCCTAGCAAATCCAGACACAGCAGCAGAAGGAGACTAGGGGAAAAGAACATGGCCGATGACGGGCGGTGAAGTGTAGAGAAACGCGGGACCCTGGCACTGAGCACGGCACAGGAGGAGAGAAAGATACAAGTCTATCAGTGATGATATATGGATAACAACGGCAAATATGTGCTAAAGTCAGAACTGGCGTGGAGATAACAGTACGAGGGAAAATGCGGAGACAGATTGGTGCTACAAGAGACGATGAACAGTGACACACTAAAACGGAAGCCTGGGGAGAAACGTGCGCCGAGCCAGGGAGTCAGGTGGTGGATGCTGATTGTGTGTGACCTGGTGCCGTTTTTGAGGCGTGCAGGTTCAGCAGGTAGGCTACGTTATCTCCGCTATCAAGAACGGCCGCAATGGATTCTGAAGCCAGATGGCAGAGCTGGACAGCGATGTCAGTCTCAGCACATAGAAGGGACAGGTCACATACTCGCGAGTATCCGCCTGGTTCGAGCGGCGTGCGACTGTGAGATTGTTTGTGAGAAGTCAGCGAGATCGAGGAACAACCATGCAGGGGTCAGCTTGCCTTTTAGCAATCGTGTTGTGAATGGCGTTCGTGCTGTAACGGCGACTGCGAACAAAGGGAGAAGTCAAGAAACATCCAACCAGACACCGCGATCCAGGCACATACAGGACACTTTCCAGGTCTCGTCTTGTTCTCGGATGAATGAAAATATCTTCGCCTGAAAGATATTTCTGGGGAAGACATGGATGCCACTGTGGTTCAGTCCAAGCATACAACACACCTCAAAGCTTCGGTAAGAGGCACATAGAGCGATGACAGTTTCGTCAATATGATCCCAGTCGAGACTTTCACTGAAGACAAAAGCGTGCGACGCGTCAGACGGTAGGTCGATAGAGACGTGGACGAGGTCAACGGACGAAGCAGAAACATTCGCGCGAGCTTCAGCGCTGTGCGGAGCCAGGAATCGACCGATATCCATGTTAAGGGAAGAGAAGCTAGTAATCTTGTGGTGGCAAGTGGCAAGGATCGAAGTGGGACGAGTCGGCCTTACGAGTATTGTTCCAACGGCAAACGCATCGCCCACGTTCGCTTTCCATTGACTCAGGAAAATCTCTGACTAAGCTCCTGATAAGCTGTATCAATTGATCGGTACGTGAGATCGGCCGTGATAAGATAGAGGAGAACCTTTTCCAGTGTGGCTTCGCGCACGTTACTCTCGTCCAAATCGTACGTTTTTATTGCCGAACCAGCGGTCCGTTTGGTCGCGTAGACTGTCCGTACAACACTGAGGGTAGAATACAGCCGCGCTAGCCAGTTGGAATCCGCTACTTGGGGTTTTGGTCATGCGAACTCGGAGATTCGCGCGCCAGCAGTTTCATAATCATTGACATCACGCCTGTGAAGGTACGCCTCTCTGCCTCGGTAACTCCTAGTTCCGCTGTAGATGGACTCTTGCGAAGCGCGATTCCAGTTATAACGCTCTTTCGGGTCACATCAAGAGGACTGGAACCGTCGCATGTCCATACAATGGTTGCGATCTGCGCAGCATATAGTGAATGAAGTGTTTGTATATGTTCCGATGGCGCATTTCCGAACAACGGAGTCAACTGAACCGCTGCAGGGGGTTCCGGCAGAGCGAGAGAGTTCGGCTGAGAAGAATCCTCAGCGGCAGGCGATAACGGGATGGTTTCCGGAATTGAAGCTTGAATCTAGTCGTCGTGTCAAGGGGAAGTTCGGATTTCGACCCTCAATCCCCACCAAAGTCCCCACTTTTCCCAACTGAGTAACGAGGACAAGCACACGGTCCGAGAAAGTCTGGATCACGATTTCTGTCTTGATTCCTTCCAGATCGGCGGACATTTGACGAGACATGACGCTCTAGTAAAGGGATCCAAGATTGGGAAAGATACGATCTGGTCGTGGTTCAGAATGAAGCTCAATGAGGTCTCATGGAATGCGCGTCACACACTGAACAATCAGGTACAAACTTGACCTGATCCATCATGAGCACCTCGAAAGGGAAGGGGAAGGAGGAACCGCAGTGGTCTTCGGGGTGGTGGGATTTCTACGAACAGACTCAAAGGTCTATATCCATCCAGCCTCAGTGTCAAAGTTCTGACTTTCTCCAGACCTGTAGTGTGGACAGCCACTTCTACAATCTTCTCCGCTCATCCAACACAACCCATAGTAAATGCGCGTCATTCCTCATCTTCCAAGCAGTTTTCTCTCCCCTCTCCTCCACCCATCGTCTCGTCTCCGGCGTCATTCGAGCCACCCCGTGTCATAGCGGATTCCCCTGCAGGAGACTGGCTTTACGCTTATTTCCCGGCGGTCGGCGAAACTGACGGAATCTCGTGCTTATGGCAGCGTTCTGCGCCTCTTGACGATTGGAATGTTAAGCAATGTTGGGCACTGCGTCCTGGTGCCGGGATCGTCGCTGCTGGCTGGCTGGGTGGTTCACGCAAGGTGCGCTTTGTCCGAGTATTCCATGGCAATCCTTTGATAATCCTTCGCAGTGGTCGTGCGATGAGTCGGGCGTACCGAGAAGACTTCCTCTTCGTGGACCGCACACGCCCTTGGCTGAAGCAGCTCTCGTACTGGTCACCGAGTCTTTCGATGTGACTGTGTGCTATTTGCGCTCATACATCCGTGAATGGAAAATGCTCACTTGCACGCTCAATCAACCGGCAGTTGCAATTGAAGATCGGCCTAATTCAACTGAAATCCCCTCCTTCAAGACCGGTGTTGTCAAGACATGTGTGGGTGCTTCGATAGGCATGGCCTATAACGGCGAGTGTGACCCGTTTCGGCTCCCACTACTACGTCAATTTGGTCTTAGAATCCTCGATCTTGGTGGCCTATCGTTCTCGTGTACTGCCCTCAACATCCGTCGGTGACCGAACTGCCAACCCTCTTCAACTTCCAATGAATTTAGATCTGACCCCGTCAGAGTATGAATCTCCTCTGGAATGGCAAAATTGGGGCGAAGCTTCGGCCATTGAACTCTGTGAGGTCAAAATTGAAGCTACCAGTTTTCGTGCGCTCGCGTCTTTGTTCTGGTTTTACATTGTGGCATATGCATTCAACAGTTATCTCGGTTTCAACGACTCCCCTCCCGCCTGTTGAAGGATCTAGCATGTCTCTAAGGCATCTGATGTTCTTCTCACCTATGGATGATAGCAAGTTGTATCTTGCGAGTAGCTATCTGGATTTCGGAGATTGTAAGAACAGTTTGCTGCTGTCGAAGGTTTATGCTTACGGACACCTCCAAGACGCAGCTGCTCCGAAATCAGAACTGTTTATCCATTCTCTCGCCCGTTCGTCCGCCGACGAAAGTCGCAACTGGGTGAGCTTCAAACGAGGGTCCCTTCAAGTTCTGTCATGCTGAGGGTAGACAGACTTGCATCCTCAGTGCCCGTCGCTCCTACTCAGAATCGGTCTTGACTTACATCGTCCTCAATCCGGGTGGACCCACGGGACAAGGATCCGGGCTGCTTGCAGGGCTCTTGAAAGTGTCAGGACCGATTCCTGTTAATAAATCGCAGCACAGAAGCATCGTGATAGGATCGACGCATCTGTTGAGCTTGTACGAAGTCCTCTCTTCGCCGAATGGTTCTTTGATTAACCTTCATGCAGACCAGAACTGGCGGAGCACGAGAGCTGGGCTCCCAGTCAAGTGGTCGTTCCTCTCGAGTCAGCCGGGCAAGAGTGTAAGCAGGCTTGCTGCTTCGGGTTGGGATTGGTCGCTCAGTCTCTTCGCAGTACCCACCCACGGGGTTCTGTCTCCCAACAACACGACGCTACTCTGCACTTCGACGACCCGCCTTTCCTTGCAGTCAATCCCTCGACATAAATCCGATGTTTCCTCGATGATAGACCTGACAGCGAGAATTGCCACCTGTCTTCTTTCAGGCAGTTCCGCTGCAGACATCACCCATCTCCTCGTTCGATCGTCGATTACGCTAGAAGTTGTTGGTCAGACGCTGCATGCTGCTTTCAAGATGGTCAATAACGGCCAAGACAAGGGAACCCTGATCCGCCGTGGTTTGGGGCTGGTCCTGGAGACCTACAGGTATCTAACCATCATTCCCCAGATGGGCATCGGCTAAACTGAAGCTCACAGATCTCGCGCCATCCAAAACGTGTCTGAGAGCGAGCGATTGGGCATCCGCTGGCACACAGCGCTTGATGTGTGTTCCCTTGCCTCGTGCAAGACAGCCTTCGAGGATTGTCGAGTGGATGGTGCCTTTGATCTTGGTTAGGATGTTACTCCGGTGACCCGCGCAGAACTAACCGGTATTGACAGATGCTGTATGGCAGCTGGTCAGTCTTTCTGCGTGGGTCGTAAGCTTCGTGGAGCAGCTTTTGAAAGACTGCGTGCTTGCTGTGGCTGCTGCCGAGAGCCCCGCTGTTCCCTGGTACCTCGGGCATGCCTACACCCTGGCTTGCTTGCACACTGTGCTTTCGGATGTCATCCAATTCAGACCAAAATCACCTCGCGCTGCGTGCGGTTCGAAAAATTCTCAAATGGCTCAGAACGTTCTGAACGACGTGCTGGTGTGCTCTGGTTAGATGTGTCCAAACTGGAGGTGCTTGTCAAGGAGTTGCTTGCTGAAACGCAGTCGACTGTTCCAGACGACGAATCGCTCCGGTGTCTGGCCTTCTGCGAGGCGACCCCCTCGATGCATTCGCATCTTCAAATGGCCGCACACAAATTGGCCTCGCAGACGATCGTGGACAAAACCCGACTGTTTGTTCAGCGACATGAACTGATGGAGGATGGAGGGGATGTCCGCAAGGAACGAGTCAGAGACATTGTCACCAAAACTGCCTTACCTGGCGCTCGGACCCGCGGGCTGACGTGCGTTCGATGCGGTGGGCGCTCCGAAGCAGCTCGTAGCACCGCCCAGCACGCATCCGATGCCTGGAAAGCGTGGGAACACGTTTGGAGCAAACACTGTATCTGCGGAGGCATGTGGCTAGCAGGTACCCAATAAGTTCTACAGCTTGCTTTTGTTGTCTTTGCCCAAATAAAAGTGCATCGCCTCCGAGATCTCGTTTATCCACTCACGCGTCGTTTCCTCCATGAACACGTTCTCGTCGTAGAAGAGAACCAGTCGGAAGCAGTCTCGAACGACCCCGGCACTCAGATACAGCTCTCCTGTCCGACAATGCAGGCGGCTCATGCTCTCTTTCAGCTGCAAAGC